CACTCAGTGGTTCAGCGTTTTGCATATGAGATAGCACGCAAGCCTTAGAGAATGAGGACCTGGCTCCCACTCCACACAGGTGCCTTGCCACCTGCTAGGTCCTAGGGCTTTGTGCCAAGTCTGCCAGCTGTGCCTGAATCCCTTTGTCATTACCCATGGGCACTTCAGGTACTGCCTGTGGGCATGGTAGCTAAACTTGTCCCTCCTGCATCACTTCTTCGCTTTCTGCTCCACCCTTCTCTGGACCTTTCTTCAGCCTCTCCCTGTGGGGCCTTTGATCTTTCTTGTCTTGATTCATCTCTGCATGTCGTTTTCCTCTCAGATCCTATTCTCTGTCACTGTGTGTCTGGCAGCAAGGCACAGATCCTAGGCAGAATGGTAAGGGTCTGGGGGCACCCCCAAGGTTCAAGATTACCACAATGGTAAGTGTGGATTGCCCATTATTTTTCTGGTGAACTGTCAGCCCCAGAAAGGCAGAGGCTCTTCTTGGTTCTCCACTCAGTCCCTGGCATCAGGCATGGCCTGTATCTGATGCTCAATACAAATCTTTAACATGATGTTAATAGATTAAGGGAAAGGGGTCATGTGGTTCTTTGGAAAGACTATGGGCTTTGGTGTCTAGAGGCCTTGGGTTTTATCTATCTCAGCCACTCACATACTGAAAAACCCAAAGCACGCCTTGTAACATCTGTAACATCTGTTTTCTCATGTGGTTCCACAAGTGTATTGTAAGAGGTGTGCTCTCAACTGCAAGTGCTCCAAAGTTCAGCAGTAAGGAGTGTGATTGCCTCTCCTAACAGGAAAGTCAGGGTTCTCCACAGCCTTCTGTGTACCCCTGGAAGCCCCTCCTCATCCCAAAGCTGATGGCACAGGAAGCTCTGTGCTGAATTGCCCAAATATGGCCAGGGATAGGAAAAAGGCAGTGTCTCCTTGTGTGTATCAAGGAGGGAAACCTTTCTCTAAAGCCCCTCTGCATCCCCTTCAGGTCTTGTTAGCTATGATTTGTGTCATATACCATATGACAGGAAGGTCAGATGCTACTACCTCTACAATAGGAGGCTGCTTATGCCAGCAGGGAGAGAGGAAAGGGGCTGGAAGGGTGCAGCAGGCAGCTGACAGTGGCTTCTCCTTGGGAGGTGGTTGTTGATGATGATACAGCTATTACTAGGATCTTAAGAACAAACAAGATCACATAGTAGAAGTGCCAAGTAAAGGTCCTAGCAGGTGACTTGTATCTACCCTGTTGACATTATACTTGTCCAGATACATGTCTTAAAAAAATGTGGATACTCTTAGGCGGAGCTTGTTCTCTCCATTGTATCTTCAGTTTCCACCATGCCCCTCCACCTTATACCTAAATACAGGATTCATTTTACTACCTACCTGATGATCCCTCAGGGCATTTAAGTTTGTAGACTCTACAGTAGAGCATTGTGACAATCCATGTTTGACTACTTTATCCTTGTATCATGCAGTTAGAACTTGGGCATCTTAATTCAAAAGAAATCCCCTTATTTTCTTGGTAGGTTTAATTAGGGGAGTATATCTGGATATTCCAATCCTTTCTTTTTCCTAAGCTCCACCATGAGAGGTGCAGGCTGACTGTAGAATGGTCCTCCAGTCCCTGGAGGTTTCTGTGTACCCAGAGCTGCCTTTGCAAGGTTGAATTTCTCTCTAAGGTACTAAAATCAGTCATTTGGACAATTTCTCCCTTGCAACATGGACACTGTCATCAGTAGACTTAAAAAAAACAAACAAGCCAAAACTCCACTGACGTACCTCTGTATTTTGTAGACCATGGCTTCACAGACCTGCAGTGGTTTATGTTCTCTTTGACATGCATCTATTAATTTGAAAGCTATGGACATTCTATATGAGCCCATGCATAGAAACATAGTACTGATTTCTTTTCTTTCTTCCTTTCTCATTTATTTCTGAGAGAGAGGGAGGGAGGGAAGAAGGAAGGAAGAAGAAAGGAAGGAAAGAGAGAGGAAGAAAAGAAAGAAAGAAATGAAAAGAAAGAAAGAGGGAGAAAACTCAGCTGCTTCTTTGCCTTGAGAAATAAATTCCACTTTCTGGCTGCATTAGATTCCCTGTTTTCCAAGAAAGGCTTAAATTTATTAGTTTGGTTCACAGTGTTCCCACAAGAACTTTACGTGGTGGCCTGGAGCCATGTAAAGTTGTTTTAAGATAGATAATGTAAGGGAATCAGCACTATATCGTTGGCAGAAATGAGGCTGTGCCTCTTGCTTAAAGAATTAACGCATGTGATTTAAAAGCTTGGTTTGTGGTGGGAGGGGACAAGGTTAAGGGAGAAGTTTTAAATCCATGTTTCTGCATTTGTGTGCTATGGTGATAGTAGCACCTCTGCCTCAGAGCTGCAGCAGTGGGTGCTACTTGTTGCTGGGGAGTCTCTGGAAGCCCATTTCATTGGGATTCTGCCCCATCCTCCTCTCAGGAGCTGGCATTAAGAGTATTGCCAAGTAGGAAGTGAGTAACAGGCAGGATCACAAATAGGCTTCACATGAGATTGAGTCTTAGCAGTAGGTACGTTTCGTTTGGTTTGGCACCTGTGATTCTCACATTTTCTATACTTTACTTCTGAAGAAGAGAAACAAAATTGAGAGAGCATCTTATTTTTCCAGACAAGCATCATAGTTCCTTAGCATCTAACTTGGAACATGTTCATGATTGTCTGTTTATGTGTGTATCTACACACATGTACCATATATACACAGGCATGAACATGCATGCAGACACTAATGTAAGTTGTTGGCAGCAGAAGGCAGCTTATCAGTGGAGAACACTGACTCCCACATTCCTAGGTTTCATGAACCAGAAACATATAAAATAAGAAATTGGAGGGTCCAGCATGGCTTGTCAAACTCATTTTTTCCAAAGTCATGTAAATTTTTAAAAAAGATAGTAAAATATGCATAAAATTTGTCATCTTAACCATTTTCTAGTGTACAGTTTTTTAGTGGTGGATCTATTCATATTGTAAATCCAAAATAATTTTGCAAGAAAGTGAATAAGACAGAGGGACCCCTATCTGTACTCGTTACTTCATAAAACAAAGAGAATTTCAACACCAAAAGAGAAACGAAAGGCATTCTTCCTCATCTGCCACAGAATATTACAGAGAAAAATATTTGTTCATGGAAAACAATACTTTAGAGAAAATATAGTCAGGAGCGCTGTGTAGCCATTTCTCAGATTTAAAAAATGTGAATTTTTTTGTAATTTTTACTCTAGATCATTCTTATTTAAAGGGGTGCTACATGAACTTTTACCAGACTACGAGATAAATAGCTTGTGCTGGAATGAAGTCAGCTATACCACTAAGTTCACAGTGTAGAAGGTGATATTTACCCTCTGGAGATTCTGTTGAAGGAAGCTGTGTGTTGGGTTACATTCTGCCACCAGCATCTTTTCATCTGTGGTCCAGGTGTACTGGCCCTGGTCAGGAGCCTAGCTCTAGATCTCATTTTGTTCTTTAGTAAAAGTTGACAGTTACAGCTGAAGCCTGTGTGTATTTATCCCACTACCCTCGCATTCTCCTCTCTCTCCCAAGTTAATTAGTGCACTGAAGTTGGCATATATTCTCCCAGGCCATACTGCATTTGCATGAACTCATTAGCAATGTATACTGTTGCTTCTTCTAAATGGAATCTACTGGATATAGCCATCTGAAACTTAATTTATTGTTAGACACATGATTTTAAAAGCTTCTCCACTTTATACATGTAGATCTGCTAAACATTGCTTTACACAACTATACTATGTCATATTTATCTGTCCTCCTATTGATAGACATTAGGTTTTTGTTAATACAGACAATACTCAGTGCCCAGGAGTGGGAATTTATCCAGGGAAGTTGTCTGGGATTAGAGTTCCTGGTTGAAGGTGAAATGATACCCTCATCACAAAACCTAGTTAATACATAAACTAGCCTACCTGTTTATCACAGATTTTCAGGTTAGTTGGGGAATGAGAAAGATAATCCTGTAAGCCAATCATTAATCAATTTGTTTTCTGGACCAAATTGAAAGTCATAGTGAAGTGACTGTGGACATGGGGCAGAGACAAGCAGGTAGAGGCCAATCCATCATTAAGTTTCCATCTTTTCATGTGATGGAAAAAAAATGTTTGCAGACTTTGAAGCAGATGGTATTGCTGTCGTGAGAGACTTTATTACAGATGCCTTGTTTTGGTCCAAGAAAATCTTGTGGACCAAAACTTGGACAGTCTTCTCAGACACACTTCTCTGGCCTTTCTGGAGTGGCTGTGCTGTTGCTCAGAGTGAGTCAATCTAAGTTTCTTCCCACCGTCTAGTCTGTGGTTTCTTTGAACCAGTGAAGAAGTGGGCCAGGATCCATTGGGGTTAGGCACCAGAGCATGTCTCCCACTTGGCTGGTAGGAAGTCTGAGGAAGCTCCTGCAGCCTGTGGCTTGCGTTGTGGCCACCATTTGCCTGGTGGGATCACAGCCTGGGTGAATCAGGCTTTATCTCAAAGAATAACCTGGTAACTGAGCATGTTCTATGTGTGAACACCCTTTATTACACAGTCTTCTCTGTTATCTTCAGCACATAGTGAGTGCTTTGAATGCTCTTTAGAAAACAGTAAGTGGAAAGACAACTTGGTGAGAAAAAGCTGTAGAAACATCAAAGAAAATAGTACAACTAAAAGCCTTTGTCGATTAGAGAACTCTTCGAAGCCTGTGGAAGAAGCCTGTTGCTCATCCATCCCCACATCTCACATGCCGAGTTGAATCCTGGTGGGGAAGAGTGTGAGAGGCGTCGCCCATGTGGCTAATGTGCATCCAGGATGTGGGTGCTGTCTGATCAGCATTTTGTATGTCACTGGCATATCTGAGCCACTGTGGCATGTCAGATACCAAGCAAAAGCTTTTCCAGTGCTTTCTACCTGGGAGATAAATGATGCATTTGATACCCAGGCAAATGTTGAGCTTTTAATTTTTTTCTTTTTCTTCAACCAGCTGTCAAAGCTTGAGAAACAGCAACAGAGGAAAGAAAAGACCAGAGCCAAGGGGCCCTCTGAATCAAGCAAAGAACGAAATGCCCCCCGAAAAGAAGACCGCAGTGCCAGCAGCGGTGCGGAGGGTGATGTATCCTCTGAACGGGAGCCCTAGCCACAGGAGACGGGAACTCAGGTAGGAGTTTCCTGCCTTACACCCCTTCCTCCTCACACATTTTGGAAGAACAGTAATGAATTGAGGCTAGAATGGCTGCTCAAGTAGAATTCATTGTATGAATATTTGTCTGTAGTGTCCTTAAATGTGCTGCCTTGCAGGATGAAGTGAATCACTGGCAAACGAGATTGTGTTTCATTCACTGAGATACACAGGCTGTCTAGTGGGTGGTGGTGTGAGTGTCCTTCCTGCATTGCCTGTGTCAGCCACAGCTATTGCTACTGTGAGCATGTGTGGAGCAGCTATGGAGCCTGGTCCAGACCAGTATTTGTGTGTGTGATCCTACCTTCATGCCCTGTCATCAGTCTTGCCCTCAGCCACTCCAGGAGAGGTCTCCATCCTCTACAGCAGCCCTAATCATTCCCTGCCTTGTGTTCTGTCATCATTCACTTCTGCATGGCATTGCCAGTTTACTTTTCCTGAAACAACACTTTATTCTTCATCATTTCCATGCCCAGGACTGTACTGGGGTTCACTGTAGCATTAAGTTCACCTCCCTGCCTAAAGATCAGTGGCCTCTGAAGTTTGATTTCAACTGTCTGACGGCCTTCAGTTCCAGTTCCTCACTTCAGCGAAGATATTACCAGAGCCTCTTATATGATGGGTCCTGGGCCAAACACTGGGTACAGATGTGAAGGACCCAGGGCATGTCCTCAGGGAGTTCACAAATTTAGGGAGAAACATAGAAATAGTTAATCTTCAGCATGGTGCATTGTGGTTGTGATGTGAACATGGTGTGGGGTGGAGAGGACTCTGGAACCAGAGGACACATAGAACTTGAAGGACAAGGGCAGGGAAGAGCTGCCTAAGCCAAGAGAGGAGCAAGTGTAGAAGTATAGACCAAGAGCTAGTCAGATTTCTATCACTATAATAAAATACCTGAGATAATTAACTTATAAAGAGAAAAGGTTTATTTTGACTCACAGTTTTGGGAATTTCAGTCCATGATTGATTGTCTCTGTAATTTTGGGACCTGTGGCAAAGCAGCACATCATGGGTGGGAGTGTGTGGCAGAACAAAACTTCTCATTTCATAGCCAGGAAGCAAAAAGAGGAGGAAGAAGAGGCTGGGGTTCCACAATCCCCTTCAAGAGCACATTCCAGTGGCCTAAAGACCTCCCATTAAGCCAAACCTCTTAAAAGTTTCACTGTCTCCCAATAGTGCCACCCTAGGGACCACCCTTTAACACATGACCTTTGGTGGACATTCAAGATCCAAGCTATAGCAGGATGCAAATGTTGCTTGATGAGAGGAGGGGTGACAAGGACAGATGAGTTTGGGAACACAAGTGAAGATTGTATGAAGGATTGAGTATAGGTGGGAAGGAGGCTGGGAGCTTCTCAGAAGTTAGAGGAATTGGAGGATCTGGATCATACAAGGTCTGGCAACTCCAAGGAATTTAGATTTCAACCTGGGGTGATGAGTAACCTCTGAAAGGTTTTAAATGTACAAATGACATAATCAGGTATGTCATTTTAAAAGATCACTCTCTAGCTTTGGGGAGTGAGGCTGGAAGCAGATAAGCCAGGTAGGAGACAATTGCAGAAGTCCAGAAAAGAAATTGTAGTAAAGGAAATGGAATCAGAAGTAAAGGAAATAGAATCATTTCAGCTTGGTGATAGGTATGTCTAGAATGACTTAGTGACAGGGTGAACACACAGACTGCTTCCAGCATGTTATGTTTAAAGTACCTATTGGCAGCCAAGGATGACATCAATAGTCTCTTGAGTCTGTGGGTTGGAACTGAGGAGCAAAGTGTTGGACACACAGTTTGGAACCTTCTGCTCATATGCTAATTAAACCAGGTCAGTAGACAGGTTCATCCTGGAGGCACCAAACTGCAAGAGAGGAGGTTGTTTGGAAGGTGATTTTCTGTCTTCTCTTTCCCTTCTGAAAGGGAGTAGGGGATGGAAGTCTGTCCATGACTTGGCCTTTAGAATGCATGTGTTCAGATGTTGAGATAAATTAGTAATAATTGGGTGATATGGTACCCACTCCCTACAAAAAAAAATGGACTAAAGGAATGAATAGATAACTGAGAAAGGCCCAGTCATTGGTTCACTGATAGTATGGCGGGGGTTCTGACTAGTGAATCCTCCTGTCTCTGCATTTCCCCCGGTCACTGTGTTTTCCTCCAATATAACTACAGCTTTGTGGTAACTGGTCTTGCTTATCTCACACTCTCATGTGAGCGTGACGTGTGGGACAGAGGGAAGTCATGTCACATTGTGTCTCATTGGTCACAGCCCCAACTCTGCCTTTTTTTTTTTTTTAATCTCAGACTTTACTGACTTTTATTCATGAACTGAAAATCTTGGTGTGAGTTAGAGAGAGTCACCCAAAATATGGTATTGGTGTTTAAAAATGTTAAACATTCATGAGTACACAGTAACATCTTGTGTGACATTATGCCACATAAAACTTCCATTTCCCACCCTTTTCAAGACTTGATTTTTTTTTTTTTCTGCTGGTGGTCAGTTTTGTCATCACCAGTATTGCTGATGCTACTCACTTATAGTCTGTCCAGACATCCTTAATCCAGAGGGGGATATGTGCCACGTAAGGACAGTGCATGGAGTGATTCTTTAAGCTAGATTTCATTTATGCTAATTAGGTGAGTAAGGGTGACTCATAGGCTCATCCTGCTGATTTCTGTGACTAAGTTATGTGATTTCTGCTTCCCTGGCGTTTCTTCTCTTGAGAAAGAGAGAAAGAGAATTAAACTTATCTCTTTCAGCAGTGCTGCTTATGGACGGCAGCAGGTGGAAGTCACAATACCAGGACAGGTGCACTGACCTGACCCCAGTGTTTCTGTGCAGCTCCCACATGGGAACAAGTTGGAGAGATACACTCCACTCATGCCTGTCCCTGAAGGAAGGATGTAGGGAACCACATTTGTCAGGCCAAGTTACAATATGAGCATTTAACTCGGTTTAGAAGCAGACATCAGCCTGGACCCTCCCACACTAATTTCTTGGGCCGAGGGCAGCTGCTGGTGTCTTCATGCCTGTTCATGCTGTTGACCCCTCTCAGGCATGGCGCTGTGTCTTCTTTCTTGGGTTTTGTTGAAGACCACAAATAATAGCCTTTTCCCTACTGAATTGTGACCTTAGTAACAAGTTTAAAACAAATTGAACATCCAAACTCTCATGATGAACTGAATAAATAAGAGAGGGATAAAAACATTAGCTCCCATCCCTCAGTGGTCAAACCCAGCCTGAGTATACATGTGTGTGTACACATATACACATGCATGTGGTCAAATTAAAATGTACTTTGGAGCTTTGTGTTTTCAAGATACCTTGAAAAATTCTAATGCCACCTAGCTAATTCCTTTCTGGACCGTATTACTAATTAGTAATACTAATTATAAATTTCTTGGTGCTAGAGATAGAACCCAGGGCCGTGTACATGTTAGGCAAGTTCTCTACCACTGAGCTGCATCTCTAGGTCATTGGTTTTTGAGACAGGGGCTTACTTTGTAGCCCAGACTAGCCTCGAACTTTTGATCTTTTTGCCTCTACCTCCTGAGTATTGGGATTATAGGATTGTACCAGCATGCCTGGCTTACCTTCTAAAAAATTTTATAAATGTAATGTCTTGATTTTTGCTTTAATTATATCTGACCAGTACTTTGAAAATCCTAATTTTGTCTATTGAGGAATATTGAATTTTATTATTTTTTAAATCAGTGTAAAACAGAACAAGTTGAAAGCTTTCATTTTCTTTAGATTTCAAAATACCATGAACATCAGTATCTTGTGGCCATGGGCATCCTGGGGGTGGTTTTGCTATTTATGTGTGAAAAAAATAAAATGATAACAAAAACCACCTGAGGACCATGTGGGCAGAGGAAGGAGTAATAACTGCATCACAGAACATTCAGGAAGACATGTCCACAGAAAGAAAACTGAGTACAGCAAAAGAAAGCAAGAAGTGAAGGAAGGAGGTGTTACTCTCCAACATTTCCCAGGTTCAGGAGGCCTTCTTTTCCTTTCTTCCCTAAACCCAAGAAAAAAAAATTTAAACTTGTGATTATATTTGTTTTCTTTCCAGTATTCTACAGGTTGGATAGCACAGAACTTGGGGCACTGCTGTCAACCACCCAAAAACAACTAGCCAAAGAGGGAACCCAGCAGCGGGTGGGTGGAGGGGAGCAAACTCAGAGGAAAATGCTTAGAAAAGAGTAGGCAGAGGCAGTCTTTCTTCCTCTCTTCTGTAAGTCAAGTTCATTGCAGCGATGCCATCATTATGGGTCTAGGGAGGAGGGAGCAGGGAAATGAAGAGGGATGATGTATGGAAGCCCCTGAAGGAGAAGTAAAAGGCAGCTCTCAGGTGAGGGAAGAATCAATGGGAAGAGGGGCAGAAGGAGAGGGAACCAGAGGCCATGCTCATGTGTTTGAGTAGAAGGGGCAACAAGACATGGTTAGGACTTACAGGCCTGCGATCATGCTTCCCAACATTGGTCATTACCTGTGTGTAGAGGACTACACCCCCGGGAAGGCTGAAGAAGAAAGCTGCATGGGGTGTGTTGGACTGACTGTGGGTCCTGGGTAGAAGGAGTAAGAGGAGCCTGGCCCAGAGGCTGTGAAGGGCAGCTTCATTAGATGGCCAGGCTCATGGCCTCAGCTCTTCATAGCACTAGTAGTCTGTCTAGGTTGCAGCCATGACTTCCATCTGGCCTCCTGAGTGAGATTTTCAGGGGCCTGTGGTGCTAGTGAGAATGGAGGGGAGACCAGGTCAGGTGTGAGCACATGGAATTCTGGTACCTGGGCAATTGAGAAAACAAACCTTGAGTGGCCCATCTCCCCTAAGTGATGGCACCAGGCACAGACCCCTGAGTCATACCAACTATGGGGCCACAGGGGCTGCTGAGGACTTAAAGCACTGTTGACACCAAGGCAAGATAGAGATTCTGTGTGTTCAGGATTTCCCTGGCTGCTATTCAGTGGCTGGTGGCTAGTAAGCAAGTTTAGATTGACCCATGAAAACATGGAAGCCACATTTCTTTGCATTCATTTGTGTAGGGTTT